AACATCATTATTTACAGAAAAAATTAATTTGATTTGAAATATAAATAACAGCAAATGGCATATTGACCAACAACCCCTAGAAAGCCTTCATTTTTTTATGTCTATCATGGATTTGTCCAGATTCACAATATAACGAATGGTTGGTAAAGAATAGGATCTGATGTATCTGAGTCAAACTACATGAGAAAATTTCCATAGTTTTGGCAAAAACCATATCATCAGTGTAGCAAACTGATGCTTTTATCACTTCATCCATCCAAAATCTATATATACATATAGAGTACCATTACATAAAGGCTCACGACCATATATAATTTCGTTCATTACGAGCGATTCTGACCCGTAAAATGTCGGCGAACATAACCAATTTTTCTATGATAAATTATAAAATCTGGATCAGATTCGAAGCTGCGCTTACCTGACGATTACCAAGCTGACTTTATACAAGTTATATAGCGTTTATAGTATTCGTGTTGTTATTACATATCAAGTACTTTATGTATTTAGTAAATAAAATTTATTTATGCGAATTTATGAAATTCGTTTATCGGTTAGTTTATCGAGTCATGTATTAATATTCAATGTTTATGCTGCGTTCCAATATTTCAATATAAAGAGATGTATAGAGAACAACCTGTCAACTTTTCTCCTGGTTGGCAAAGTAGAAGCCGCGAGTGCTTGCACCAGGAGGGCCTGGATTCACAGCACGTTCGACTCCAAACAGACTCCACCCTTCTACCTATTGTGTGCTTCATCGTAGCGTATACGCGAACAGAAGATTAAAACAGAATAGAATTCGTCGTACAATATTATTTTCAATAATTCGTAATGCGACATTAAATCATAAAGTAGCATAAAGTTTTAAAATTATAATCGAAATTATTATCTAACTTATATTAATACATTTTTCTTCTATGTTTATAATTCAACTGTATTTAGGATAATTGAAACATTTGACATAATGGATGAAAAATTCTATATTCACAACAAATAATGGCACTTTAAAATTTGATTAATTTGTCAATTTGCTTAAATTCTTTTTCAAAGTAATTTTAATTTATTTATGTCTTACACAAGACAAACAACATATCAATTTTAACAGTATTAATTATTATTGTAATTAAAATTGTTACCTGTATTATAGTAAAAAAAAAACTAGAAAAAGCGACATGATTGGTCTATTTTTACTCGTTATTCGTATTACACAGATTTCAAATTTAAAAAATTACAATATTTTTTCATAAGATACGCTTAAAAAGTTCAACTAATTTTGATATGAGAAAAACATTAAAATACTAAGCCTAATACTTAACGAGCAATTATTTCATTTTTGAAATTTTTAATCGTATTTTTAATTTATTTAATTTAAAATATATGCTCTCCACCTCAAATGAGTACTGTAGTGTCTTGCCCCTGTTATCAATTGAGTCATGCCGGACTCAATTGTCTAACTCCTTTTAGGGAAAATTTTTCAATTGAAATAATATGTCTTCTGGTTTAAATCATCGGGGCCTCCTGTTTTTAAGCTTTCCAAATCTGGTTTCATCTTTCATCTATCTAACTCCGTTCTCGAGATTAAAGAATGACCGACGGACAGACGACAATGAAAATTTATAAGTCTACAATATTTCAAATTGCAGCCCAATGATGAAATACAGCTCTGAAAATAGATAGATCAACTTCACGGATTAAATGAATTACAACATTATCATTATAACCATCAAAGCCATTAACTTTAAATTTTATGATCTCTACATTATGAAAAAAAAAAAAAAACAATAGAGAAAGAAAATGTAGAGGTAACTTTACATTTTCTTTCTCTATTGTTTTCTGTCTCTAC